TATTATCTTAACTATTTTGTATGTTGACCCAGCCGGGCTAGCCCGGTCAGTTCATTTTACCTGTTTATAAATAAAGTAGTTGAATATCATTAGTTGATCAGAACGGACGTATACAGAGCCTTGAGTTTTGGCTAGAGATTTAGTTAGAGAGAATCTCATTAGACTTTGAGTTAAGTAATCGTTAGAGAAGTAGCGTCTAGATTTGTTACATGCCGGTGTTTATATATATATACATGAATATATATATGTTTAGGACTATATGATGTAGAGTACAGGATACTAGTGGTATGCCGGTATATATATATATATACATGAATATATATATGTTTAAGACTATGTGATGTAGAGTACAGGATATTAGTGGTATGCCGGTATAACATGAATATATAGATATATATATATATGTTTAGGACTATATGATGTAGAGTACAGAATACTAGTGGTATGCCGGGATGGATCCCTTTGTTATCTAAAACGAGGTTGGCCGGCAGCAAAGATAATATCCCAGCTTGATAGCCAGGCTGTCGGACTCATCAGGTAGAAAAAAGGGTTTTTAGTTTACTTAGTTTAACAAATAAATATTTTACCTTTTTCCTTGCAGATATCATATTAACACTCAGGATAAGTATGTATATTTTCTAACTAACATAAATGTTCTAATCCCTATATCTTTTCAACCTGAGGGTGTAAACCTTAGATATTTCAAACATATTTCAAATCTCCCTATGAGGTCTAAAATTATGCAAACATCTATTTTTTATTTTGTAATTAAATTAAACTTTTAAAGATTTTGACATAAAAAGTTTTAAAAGGATTTAAATCTTTGCCACAACTCAAATTGTCTAATCCCGATATCTTTACAACCTGATGGTGTAGACTTTTGATATTTCAAACTACACTCCTCTGACACTTAGTAATTGTAAATCGGCGGTACAGTCTAAAGTAGGACTGCAAGGGTTGGCCCCGTGCGGATATTCAAATGTACACTAGTGGGACGTGTAACATAGAATATTTGATCTAACAGAATTCCTGATTCGAAATATCCACAGTTTGTACAGATACTAGAAATTCAAGGCGCTTCGCGCCCTTCTTTCTAGGCTTTTAGGGCTCTTCGCGCCCACCTTCTGTTTAAATTGTGAACATGTTCTTTTTGTTTACATTTTGAAACACAGAAGAACAAAATTTTGCGGATTTTTAAAAAAAAAAATTCGCGGATTTTCAAGAATTTAAATTTATTTACAAAATTAAAAACCTTTAAAATGCATTTTTAAAATTTTATCATTCATAGACCTTCCCTGTGGTCATCGTGTTGTCATCCCACAAAAATTTGGGCCCGATCGGTTTAGCCGTTTTGACGTTTATTTAATACAAACAAACAAACAGACACCCAGACAGACAAGCCAAATTTATATATAGATATGGGTTAGAAAATTAAAGTTTGTGGTAAAAAATAAATTGGTTTCTTTTCATTTTTTTAAATCAAACCTAGCTCTTATAATGTTTAGATATATGCAAAAATCTTTTTATTATTTTGTAATTAAATTTAAGTTTGAAAAACTGTAGGACGTGAAAAATTAGAAATATCAAATAAAAAATGAGATAGAACCTTAAATAATCTTATAAAGCTAAAAATTATGGTGTTTTTCATTACATTAAACCTTTTTAGTTTTTATAAGTACAATCTTAAAAATTACATAATGGAGCAGATAGTACTTTCAACCGTGGTTAAAACCAATTCAAACCAGTAAAGGTGTACTGTAGTGTAGTCAGGTCTGAGATAAGCCCCCGGTCAGAAATTCCTTTGCTCCGGTCTTAATACCCCGGTCGTACTTTCATTGAACTTCCTTTATAACACAGATTTACCCCGGTCAGTATATTTTCATTCAGTTTTATAATTTTATAAATGCCAACCAGGCGCGTACACAGGATTTTAGCTAGGGGGGGGGGGGCAAGATTTCGCGAATAGCGCGGAAATTTTTTTTGCCCCCCCCCTGGATGTTTTTTGCCCCCCTCCCTGAGAATGTTTTGTTCAAAAAGTCAATTAACACCATAAAAATACATCAAAAAGACTACATTTTTTGGGTGTTACTACCCTTGTAGAGTCTAAAAATTATTCGTTTGCTCGAAAACTAACTTTAACTTTTTATTTTTATAAATTTTTAAAGGAATTGAGTCTTTTCTAATCACATATATCTTTGGAATCAAATGTTGTAAACCTTAGATATTTCAAACTATGAGTTCTGTTAAATCAAATGGTCTGAGTTTGAAATATCAAAGGTTCACAACATGGGGTTCTAAAGATATTGGGGTTTAAATATTTAATTTTGTTCCTAAGACTCAATTCCTTTATCACTTAACTCCATCACAGCTAACTAAATCAATAATCACAGCATCATTAAAAAATTATATTTTCACTAATAAAGGAAAGAACGAAATTTCTTCTAAAATTTTTAGATAGAATTTACTCCATCTACATATTCACCAACTCTTTTAAACATCAATTTTATGGGATTTGCTTGCACAAACATTTCAATGATTTTCTCAGTAGTGAGCCATAAGTGCAAGATCGTTATGTCTGCTTTCCGTCATGGTACATCTTGTGTAATGAAGTATTCTCTTTAGAAGGCTAAAACTTCTCTTTCTTTCATTCGATGTTATTGTCATCATTGCATAAAGGGGAACTTGAAATTACGCTTAATATCTCTTTATGGAAATAAAGGAATTGAGTCTTTGCCACAAACTCTGATTTTCTAATCCCTTTATCTTTGGAACCAAATGTTGTAGACCTTAGATATTTCCAACTATGAATTCTGTTAGATCAAATATTCCGAATTTGAAATATCAAAGGTTTACAACATCAGGTTTCAAAGGTTTGAATATTTGAGTTTATGCAAAGACTCAATTCCTTTATAAATTGACTGTAAGAAAAAAAAGAAAAAGTGAAAATATAATACCTTTATTACATCTTCCATCATGTTATAAGCATCTAATATGTCGAGGTCTTGTTTTTGCAAAAGTTTTAGTTTAAAGTATCTTACAATTTTGAATTTAGACAAATCCTGTCATTGTTAGGTGTTATTTTTTTAATTTGTTTCCTTTTAATTTTGTATTTTCCAGGGGGGGACAGGGCCCCCCCTGGAACTACAAGGGGGGGCAAGAGGACTACTGCCCCCCCTATGTACGCCACTGATGCCAACCTCTCTATTATACTTTGTAGGGTGTACACTTCTTTAAATAATGGGGGGGGGGGGTTTAGGGCGCGGCTTAAATAAAGCCACCATTTTGTCTTCACAGATCATAAAACTAAAAGATATCGCGGATTTTTCTTGTCTATATAATTATAGGAGAGAGAAGAATCTTGTTATCACTACAACGGATAACCAGTTATTCTTGTTTATATAATTATACAGTGAAACCCTTAATAACGAATACATTGAAAGAATTCATCAAATGTCGTATTCTTCACTTTCTGATAATGGAATGTTGCAGATATTTAATTTTTTAATAAAATGATTATATGGAGCTCTTTAAAACTGTTCCTGCATATTCATGGCTATTTATTTATTTTCGCAAATACTAAAATTTACGTAATATAGTATACAACTCATTAAAAAATTGTCCAGACGACATTTGATAAATTCTTCCGATGTATTCGTTATTAAGGGTTTCACTGTAGGAGGAGAAGAATCTTGTTATCACTACAATGAATAACCAGTTATTCTTGTTTATATAATTATAGGAGGGAGAAGAATCTTGTTATCGCTACAATAGATAACCAGTTATTCTTTTTTTATGTAATTATAGGAGAGAGAAGAATCTTGTTATCGCTACAATGGATAACCGGTTATTCTCGTTTACAACGAAGGGAAAGAAAGTTTGGCAGATTAAGCTGCCAACTGCAGTCACATGTTTAGAACAGATGAATATACCAGGTTTGTGTTTAAGAGGAATGTCGTCGTATTATTAATTGACTCTCCCATTTAAAAGAGGGGATCATGTCTGATTTAAAACCTTACCCTTGAAACTGTTATTTGATCAATATTGTGAAAGATTAAGTCGTTTCTTGACTTGAAAAGGGTTTAATTCTGATAATTTCTCTATTATTCATGCTTGCATTAATTGCAAAAGTCATTTTGACAGAGAAACCACGAATGGATATCTTATTCAGACTTATTTAAACAGATATTTTACGGGTATCGCTGTGAATCTGACATATCAATGTATCAACAGTGAGTCACTTGAAATAATGCCGGCCTACACACGTACATTCCCTTCAATCTTTTTAACTTTTAAGAGGCCCTGTAAGAATCTGAGATGTTCTTTGTTGTTTTTTTCTGGATAGAATTATTGAAATTTAAAAAAGCTCTCTTGAAAATTGTCAAACCTTTTAAACTTTATTGAAGAAAGAATGAAAGAAAAACTGTTTTTAAAGAAAAACTGGAGCCTAAGATTGTAGTTATTTTCTGAAAAACAAAGTTATCTCCATTTAATATTCAAAAAGAGGTTTAAATAGGGAGGTTCACTTTAAAGAATGGTAACATTAAATCGAACATAAAATGATGAATTTATTAAGGTCGAGGATTATCCCTGGTAGCCGTAGCCCTAGCTTCTGCACATGTTCTCATCTATGATGATAAAAACATTATTGATCATTTCAAGGTTGGTTTCATTCCACTTCTTACAAAATACATATTTAATTTTCTATTGTTTTACACGCAGGAAAAATACATATTTCGGTGAAAGTGGGAAGGATGGGGGGGGGGGATATCCTTTAAAACATATTACAGAGAAATATTATTTAAGAAACAAAACTTTTTTGTCGCGCACTCGTATTTTCTAATCGATATATCTTTGCAACATTAGATATGAATTCTGTAAGATCAAATAATCTAAGTTTGAAATATTGAAGTTTTACACTATCTGAGACCGAATTTAAAGAATTTGAGCCGCGGTTTAAATTTGAGCCGTGGCTTAATTATGGTTGGTTTCACATAAAATTGTATCAAATGTTTCAAGATTTAAGCTGGCGCTCATTTTAAACCGGGTTTTGTCGGATTTAAGCCGGAACTTAAATTCTTTGAATTTGGCCTCAGGTTGCAAAGCTTTAGGAATAAGTTTGTGGCAAAGACTCAATTCCTTTAAAGGAAAAACAAACCTAAAAGGATTATTAAAACAATAATTTTCATAATATTATTAACTCTGTTTCATTGTTTTGTTTTGTAGATGGATGAGACGGTATCGGCAATGAGGTTTGGAAGGTTTGGTAGAGAAGATAATACCCTAGTTCTAGTCACATGTACAGGAACATTAGCTATCAAGATACTCAAGAGAACTGCTCACTTCGAGAACCTGGAGATAACATCAGCTCCTCTTATAGGTAACACAGGGATAATTGGTAACACAGAAGTAATAGGTAACACAGAGATAATTGGTGACACAGGGATAATAGGTCACACAGGTATAATTGGTGACAAAGGGATAATAGGTCACACAGAGATAATAGGTAACAAAGAGATAATAGGTAACACTGGGATAAACTATTTACCGGGCAGAATACAAGGCTAAATATTCCTAAGAAAACTAAACTATTTACAGGGCAGAATACAAAGCTAAATATTCCTAAGAAAACTAAACTATTTACAGGGCAGAATACAAAGCTAAATATTCTTAAGAAAACTAAACTATTTACAGGGCAGAATACAAAGCCAAATATTCCTAAGAAAAAAAAACTATTTACAGTGCAGAATACAAAGCTAAATATTCCTAAGAAAACTAAACTATTTACAGTGCAGAATACAAAACTAAATATTCCTAAGAAAACTAAACTATTTACAGGGCAGAATACAAAGCTAAATATTCCTAAGAAAACTAAACTATTTACATGGCAGAATACAAAGCTAAATATTCCTAAGAAAACTAAACTATTTACAGGGCAGAATACAAAGCTAAATATTCCTAAGAAAACTAAACTATTTGTGGATCAGACAATGAGAGAAAGGGAGAGTGCTACCTTGATGCATAGGTAAATAAATAAAAGTTTAAATCTTTTAAAAAAATTGCATACAAGCCAAGTTCTCAAAAATAGTATTTCAATACTCTAATTTCAAAATTTACTTATAATAATGATATGTAATAGTATTTTCTATTTAATCCTTTTTTACTAAAAACATATTGGTGTTTAAAAATATTAGATCTTTATAAATTATAGGAGGAATCGAAACATATCATGAAGGAACTGTAAGCGTTATTTCAAGTGACCCTCCATGAAAAAAGGCCCGTAACTCAGATCAGTAGGGAGTAACTATCAAAAGTTATAATTTTGAAAACTGATTATTTTTAATTGTGGTTTGTCTGCAAAAGTGACTTGGGCATTATTGTTAGAAATCATTTAGAAAATATTAGAAGTAAACATTTTTAAACCTATAAAAACGACAATATCTTCCACATTATTTACCAAATAAAGAGTACCGTTTTGAATCGGACATTGCCATTTTGCATGGAGGATCACTGAAAATTACGTTGACAGTCCCTTTAATTTTGACTTGTTAAAAGAACTGTTACGGTAAAAATGAAAGTGGGTATAGGCTAAACCCTTGAAATTTTAGGAGTTGATCGCAACCAATATTAATTATATCTGATGTCCCTGTCTCGAGAAGTTGTTGTAAAACTTAGCTCGGTTTTTAGATTCTACGTTTAATGGGTCGACTTTCAAAGCGAAAACATAGATTCTCGGTAAAATCGTTCAAGTGCGGGTAAACGGCGGGAGTAAATTTGTAACCTGGAAAGCTGGGTTCCTGCAAGCTAGTTTTTTATATTTCTAGTGTTCCAACATGACTTGTATTTAGAGTGTTCCAACATGAATTATATTTAGAGTGTTCCAACATGACCTATATTTAGAGTGTTCCAACATGACTTGTATTTAGAGTGTTCCAACATGACTTGTATTTAGAGTGTTCCAACATGACTTGTATTTAGAGTATTCCAACATGAATTGTATTTAGAGTGTTCCAACATGACTTGTATTTAGAGTGTTCCAACATGACTTGTATCAGCTGAGGTTGAATACTGCTCGGGCATTTGTCTCCGCTCTTGAGACAAGTTCTAATCCTGTATCCAGTGATCCAGAAGAACCCATCAAACTTACAGCTCAGGTATCCGCCCCTGCATCAAGATCGGGCTGACTTTGAAGTGTCATCAGGCCTTGGTTTACATGCTACATACATTTTAAGCCCTGATGGTTGTAACAAATTTCAATTTACCTGTAAAAGTTAGAGTTCTACAACTGAATGAAAAATTAAAAGGATCGGGTTTAAGTTTAACTAAACCTACGCTTGACTCTTGACTCTCTACCCTCTAAAAAGGAAAGTTCTGAAAATGAAAATTCGCGCCAAAACTGCTCTGTGCTTGTTTCTAGCTTTAGTTTTGCTACGCATTGTGGAATCTTTTAAAAACTCTAATTTCTAATCATTAACAACCTGATGTCGTAGACCTTTGATATTTCAGTCTGAATTCTGTTAGATCAAATAGTCAACGCATTAAAACATTAAACACCATCAAAAATATAAGGATCAGATAGCTTCAGACTCACAGACAAAGAGACAAAAAGAATTATGTTAAATCTTTATGCATTCTTTAAACGAAGAATTATTTGATAATTAATAATTCTTTCAACATTTGAGTGAATTTTTTGATTCTGTATTTTCAGGTTATGGGACTGTATTCATGTATTTTCAGATTATGGGACTGTATTTCTGTATTTTCAGGTTATGGGATTGTATTCCTGTATTTTCAGGTTATGGGAATGTATTCTTGTATTTTCAGATTATGGGACTGTATTAATGTATTTTCAGGTTATGGGACTGTATTCCTGTATTTTCAGATTATGGGACTGTATTCCTGTATTTTCAGATGATGGAAATGTATTCATGTATTTCCAGATTATGGGACTATATTCCTGTATTTTCAGGTTATGGGACTGTATTCGCATGCATTTTTAGGTTATGGGACTGTATTTCTGTATTTTCAGGTTATGGGACTGGGACCAATGTTCAGATTGATCATTGTGCTGAGTAATACAAGTTCTAATATACCGTCCAGGAACCTGTACATTACATTCTACTGTGATGATAAACTTTACAAGGTAATATAAAATCTACATCTTCAGATTACCTCCTAATATGCAGGGTCAGTCCATAAAGAATGAGACTTCAGAGATGACTTACCGAATTAATTAAGTCGAGTCATTTTTACAGTTAACTGCAACTTATTTTTTTTGTTGTTGAATTTTTTGTTATACTATATGGAAGTCAGAAAGCCCTGTTCAACCTTCAGAAACCCCTGATACTAGTACCTATGCTTATACCTGGATTAAGCTATGTATTCTCTAGGTTATGAAACCACTGATACTAGTACCTATGCTTGTACCTGGATTATACTATGTATTCTCTAGGTTCAGAAACCCTTGATACTAGTACCTATGCTTGTACCTGGATTGAATTATCAGTTTGAGACGTTGGTTGAATCAATGTCGGAGATGGGAATAGCTGATCAAATCAGGTTTAGTGATCCATCATATTATAAATTGAAACAAAAATCGAAACCTATCTAAGAAAATATGTTGTTTCAATGAACGGTAAACGGTAAAATTATTTAATGCCTCCCATAAAAACTTCCTAAATTATCTGAAAGAAGTATATTCAGAACTAGAGACATGTAAATGTTTTAAAATTGGTCCAAGATCTTTGACATGTGCGGTCGTCCCTATTCCCAAGAGACATAAAGTTTTTGAATGGTTTCGTTATCTTTGATAAGTAACCTAAGACAACCACTCTAAATATATTATATGTTGTAGAGTGTTTGTGAGTCGAAATGAGAGAATTCAACCCATCCTGTCAGCAATTATTAACATGCCAGTCTCTGAGATGGTTTAAAATACTCAAAAGATGTACTTTTTTTTATCAAAATGTGATTTTTAGTTTCATAGTATCTAATAAAATTATTAAAAACTATTTTGTGTTTATTTTGATCTGATGAAAGTTAATTGAAGGATTGATAGTTTTTTAATATTTTTTCTTATGTCAATAGTACTCATTCTATAAAATCTTAAAACGAAAATCTTTATTTTTATTTTTCATACATGTTTTTTGTCCACACGTGATCCATCAAACTCAAATCTGAAATTAGATAAAATATTACAAATTATCACATTGTAAACGACGACATTTAATGTCTGATTAAAGACGACTTTCTTTACCTGGGGGCTTCCTCTTCAAACATTGGCTCGAGTTCGTGGGGAAACAAACCACTGACTTGTCTACAATAAAGAATTTAAAGGACTGAACACTCTTGAACTCAACATTAACTAAAACGTATCAGGCGTCGAGTCAAAGACTAACTTACACTTGATGAAGAGGGTAATAGAGGCTGCTTTTGGTCAAATAAATATTAGCAAGCTTACAACAAACGCAATAATTAATAACATTGATATGTTTTCAAAAATGGTTTTACCTGGAGGCTTAGAAAATATCTGATTCAAAGGGTTTATTTTAGTTACCATATTGGAATAAAGGGATTTAAGAACAATACATCATTAGAAATATCCGTTTGATTTACAGGGTGTCCCATATGAACATGTGATTTGACTGACGACTTCTATATCATATTTGTTCCATGCGGGATTATTTGTAAACATTATTTTGTATAGTATCAACCAAGCTGTTCAAATGTTAAATATTTCCGTCAATTTAAAAGATACAAAGAAGGTAGACCTCATTTATTTTGGAAAGCTCAGACGATTTCAATCTTTTCTTGGTGCACTTTATGTCATTTATCAATTATCGGATATCAAAGATGATATTCAAGTCATCTCTTCATTCCTATGTTTATTGGGACACCCTGTATAATCTGTTAATGTAACCTTTTATATTTTCCCCAGTATGTTCTATACATGAGGATACCGCTCATCGTAACAAACAATAAAATCATTAGTTTCACTCCTAAAAAGAAGAAACTTTAAACAGTTACGAATGTAGAAAATACCGATTTTATTACAAAGGATGAGAATTCAAATTAAATGTTTGATTAAAATTCTAAATGTCATCAAACATAACCCCCTTAAAAAACAAAATTATTTGAATTTATAATACGTAACAAAAATTATTGTCTTTTATACAGTTAAACCTTAAATAAGAATTCATCAAAAGTAGTATTCTTCACTTTCTGATAATGGAATGTTGCAGATATTTAGTTTTTTGATTAAATGATTTTATGGAGCTTTTTAAAACTGTTCCCGCATATTCATGGCTATTTATATGTTTTCGCAAATACTGAGATTTACGTAAAATAGTATAAACCCATTAAAAACATGTGTGCGTAAATAAAAACTGCAGGAGTTACAAGGTCACAAAGTCATACAAGTAAATTTGACCTTCTTCTTGTGTCTAGTGGAGTCTTATGTTTAATTTTAACTAATATGATGCTGGATATCATTAAATTTTCTATTGTTATTTTTAAACAATTGTCTGGCTAAATATAATGTTCTACCTTCAACTAATTTTTCTAATAAAAAAGCAAATATTGTAAAAATATGATTCCTAAAGTTTTCGGGTAAATTACCTGGGTTTATTCTTGGGACATTCATAATCTATATATAAATTTGGCTTGTCTGTCTGTTTGGGTGGGTTTTAAAGGTTTTTAATTTTGTAAAAAAATTTAAATTCTTGAAAATCCGCGAATTTTTTTTTAAATCCGCAAAATTTGTTCTTCTTTGTTTTAAAATGTAAACAAAAAGAACATGTTCACAATTTGAATAGAAGATGGGCGCAAAGCGCCCTAAAAGCCTAGAAAGAAGGACGCGGAGCGCCTTGAATTTCTAGTACAATATATTTCTGTTAAATTACCTGGGGTTATTCTTGGAACATTCATAATACAATATATTTCTGAAAATGAATGTAATGGATTGTTTAAATGTTTACCAATTGAAACGTCAAATTAAAGAAAATTGCTTTCAATAATAATTCCTCTTTTTGAACGAAAAATAAAAATGTTTTTAATTTCTAATATGTAAAAGAATAAGTTTTCTTTTCATAAACTTGTGCGTAAAATTAAAATTAGAGTATAGCGACGAGGTCACAAGTCATAACAGTGATGTCTCATACTAGTTCACAGTGATATAATCACATCACACTTTGTTGAAGGAACTTCTTTGTAGTTCTTTAAGAATCTGGTGAAATCAAAACATAATATACGAAGAACAAAATTTGCATACATTTTGAACAATTTGTTTATTTTTAACTTTTTTTTACTGGTGATTTTTTTCTTTCTTAATTTGAATTTGACACTATTATAGTTCCTTTCCCATGCAACTTTGGCGTACTTTTGATCACATGCAAAAAGTAATGCACTTAAGTAATAGCTTAAATATGTTTGATAAATTCCGTACAAAAACCCTAGTCCCATTTACAGAATACGTTCTGGAAACCCTTTCTTCAACAGCAATAAATTGCAGTTTTACATAATCGAAAACGTACACAACTTCTTTCAATATTTGTACACCAGTCAATTTTCAATACTAATGACACGACTTTATGACATCCTACCTCCACAAGTACATATAACAAGTACCTCCACAAGAACATATAACAAGTACCTCCACAAGTACATATAACTAAAGCACCTCCACAAGTACATATAATAAAAGCTTATCTGGGAACATACTAGAACTTCAAAACACTTCTCAATAGCCTATCAGAAAGAAATCGCTAAATTTTCTCAATTCGATTGTATAAAACTTTGATATTTCAAACTTAAATTACTTAACACGACAGAAATTTTATTTTAAAACATCAAAGGTCTATCTCATTGGGTGGCAAAGATAGTGATTAAAAAATCAGAGTTTGTGGCAAAAAATCAATTATTTTTATCAAATTTACAATGACATAAACAATATCTATTTTTTATTCAAAGCATAGTTACACTTACAGTAGGGTGACACAAGAAGGGGTTACATTCTTTTTTTTTGGGCGGGGGGGCATAGGTTCTATGGGTGTCGTGGCCCAATATTAGCATTTTGTAAAAGTTTTAGGTTGATCGGAGCATTTCATCGGGTGCAAGTCATTTTTAACTTTTCGGCAAAATCTTGATTTTCGATGGAGGTCATTGATCTCCAATCCCAAATTTTCTTGGTGTAAAGTGTCGAATTGCCCCCCCGGCCTAAGAATGATAAAAATCGAGATTTTTCCCTGATACTTATACTTGCACACAAGTTAATAAAGTTAAAGCGCCATTTTTTGCATTTCAATACTAAAAGTTGACATCTCCCGAAGAACTTTTGCATGATTTTCTGATTTTCACTTTTCGTGTGTCATCATAGGCTACAGAAATAAAAATTACAAAAATGTCAGGCCTAAGAGACTCTAGGTCTTTTCTCTTTGTTTTCTCTGCCGCATATATATTTGTACACAGATTAATTGAAATAACAGATAGGACACTAGATGTCGTCTTTTTAAGATTTAGTGGTTTTTCGTTCATGATAACCCTGAGGTGAAAGCCAAAAGAAGTTACACACAGTCGGCGTAGAACAGACTCTCTCTCTGTCTTGTAATTCTATGCAGCCTGTGCGTAATTCCTTTTGGCTTATAATAAACTATGAAGGCTTTTTTACTTTTACAATCATGGATTATTTATACAGGAAAACAAAGATATTTTTATCCTTTTTGCTTGATGTAGGATCGACAGCACATATTTATAAATTGCATAATTTAAGGCCATATATATAACTGAGTAGACAGGGGATAAATTTACGGATGAAACTGTAAAGACGACCCAAAACTCCAAAAATATGACGGTTTAAAGTGTGATGTTTTATTTCTATATTTCATTAATTTTTTTGATGGTTTATTAAATAGTATAGTCGGTCAACCCGAGTAGACGTGTGTGTGTGAGCTCCCTAGATGGCTGGTTAATGGAAATTCTACCCTTTAGACAATATGTCAAACCTGTCACTCTGAACTGTTAACACAAACATAAAAAATGGCGAATCTTCTTCTTTCCCTAGTTACGCTTTTAAAGTACCGTGCTCCATCAATCAATAGTGAATATTTATCAGTGCTTGATTCATCGCTAAAACGTAAACTGTCTCCTCTTCACCATCATATATCAAGATGTACCGATCCAGCAAGATTTAGAAACATTATGAGACCAGCTCCCCATTCTTCATACAGAATTTCTGGAAGAAAACAAAGAACTTTTTGCTGTGGAGAAAAACATCATTCGAAAGGTTTTATCTCCCATCCTAATAAGACCCTCACAGAACTTCAACATCTAAAAAAAGTTTTGAGAAAGAATGCCGTTTCCAGAGCTGGCACTGATAAGGTCGACAGGAAAAAGTTCCATTCCTGTCTGAAAGCAATAAGTGAGCTTAGAAAAGTTGAAAAAAGAAGACTCCTTTTGAAAACTACCAAGAAAACACCAAGAAAAAATGTTTCACAAAAACCGTTGGGATTTTTCTAAACTAGCTGTCAAGGGATCATTACTACAGGAGAAATTGAAACCAATCTTTGACCTAGTATTTGCAAACACCTACTACCCGGAAAAATACAGCACACCCAGTAACATAGACTTGAACAGTTTAAACTGGTTTCCCTTTGTTTCAATAACCCTTTGATCTCCAAATTTTGAACCATTCAATTGTGAGCCCTACGACCAAAGCATGTAAAAAATATATTAAAAAGTGCAAATCTAAAATTCTCTCCAGGCCCTGATGGTATCCCGCATGAGATATTATTCAAATTTAATTGTCTTTACCCCATTTTAGCCACCCTGAATAATATAATAAATAGTAATAAAGGTCTACGGCATTGTGTTGCAAAGATATAGGGATTAGAAATTCTGAGTTTGTGCAAAATCCTTTGTGCAAAAACGGACTGGATTACCACCCTGTGCAACAAATGCTGCTCTACACTTGAAACCTGGCCTAGACATCACTTCAATATCCACCCTGTACAAAACAACTATGACGCAAGCATACACTAGAATAAGAATACTGGTTGATGAAACAGTTAACTGTGCCTTACAATCTACATTAGACAGGGGAAAAAATTGGCTTCGCATAAGTTCCATCACAGACTATGCAGAAAAAATGTGTCAACAAGCCACATTAGAGAACTATGGTCAAGCAGAAATGCCTGAGTGGGATGACCAAGCGTCCAAAAATCTATGCTTCAAAAAAAATGAAAACAAATGTCGGTGAAAAAGGTATCTTTTTAAAAAGAAACTTTCTGGAGAGAACATACGAAAACACTCTCTGCCTGGCAATGCTTGAAAAATCTGACATGATCTGGAAATCTTACATGTTCAATCTGAAGAAAGGTACACTGAAATTCCTACTCAACTCCTGTTTGGACACCCTCCAACACAAACTAACCTTCTACAATGGGGAACATCTGCATCAGATCTCTGTAAACTATGTTTACGGGCAGACACTGAATTGCAAGTTAGAAGACAAAAAGCTACAAACCAAATTTTGAATGGCTGCAAGGTTGCACTACACCAAAAAAGATATACTTGGAGGCACAACAATCTTATTAAATATATCACTGGATTAATTGATATTGACCGATTTTTTATGTATGCCGACATTCCGTCCCATACCCTTCCAGGGGGAGGTACTGTTGTGAACGTATAAAATGCCTTTTTTTGCTGAAAAATAGGTGAATTTTTTTATAAACATAGGTATGTATGGTAGTTAGCAGATCTTTTTCTTAAAAAAGTATCAGAATTTTTTGGAAAAATCTATAAAAAATAAAATATTAGCAAGAAATTCAACTTTAAAATTCTATAAACTGCCTCTTTATTTTTTTTATGAATTGCTTTAGCTTTTTGTTTAGGCAGTGACGGCAGTTGGAAATTGAAAAAAAAATTCTTGAATAAATTTTGATAAAAAAGTTTCAAGAAGTCGGTGGTAGTGAGGGTAGTTTGAAATTGATAAAAAAATTGAAAAAATTTTGATAAAAAAGTTTCAAGAAGTGGGTGGTAGTGAGGGTAGTTTGAAATTGATAAAAAAAATTGAATAAATTTTGATAAAAAAGTTTCAACAAGTCGGTGGTAGTGAGGGTAGTTTGAAAAAAAAAACAAATTCTTGAATAAATGTTGATATATAGATTTTAAAAAGTCGGAGGTAGTGAGGGTAGTGGGGAATTGAAAACAAAATTTGTTTTTTTTTATTTCAAACTACCCTCACTACCACCGACTTGTTGAAACTTTTTTTTCAACATTTATTCAAGAATTTTTTTTCAATTCCCCACTACCCTCACTACCTCCGACTTTTGAAAATCTATATACCAACATTTATTCAAGAATTTGTTTTTTTATTTCAAACTACCCTCACTACCACCGACTTGTTGAAACTTTTTTATCAACATTTATTCAAGATTTTTTTTTTTCATTTCCCCAGTACCCTCACTACCATCGACTTGTTGAAATGTTTTTTATCAACATTTATTCAAGATTTTTTTTTCAATATCCCAATGACTTTAAAATTTTTACCATTTAATTTAAAAATTTATACATAAATCAATACATATCTTTAGTTTTTAAAATAAAATTATTATTACTTTAACTACCTTATATTTATCTGACATAAAGCTAATGTGAAAAATAAGGCATTTTATACATACAGGGTACTGTTCCCCCAACCTCCTTGTGGCAGCACAGAAACCAGAGGCCGAATTTAAGCCGCGGTTCAAATATGGTTGGTTCCACTTAAAATCGTTATCACTGCTTCAAGATTTAAGCCGGCGCTCAATTGTAACCGGTTTTTGGCGGATTTAAGACGCGGCTCAAATTCATTTAATTCGGACACAGATGTAGTAATTATTGATAGAATGGAGAAAAAAATGGATATTTTTGAGCTTACTATTCCATTGGAAACAAATATCAAAAATGCCAACACTCAAAAAATGAACAAGCATGATTTTATCACAGATATAACAACTAGGGATGTGTCTGTTGGTAACCGCCAAAAAAGTCCTTGGAAAAAAAGTCTCCGGAAAAAAGTCCTAAAATTTCACACTAAAAAAGTTCTGTGGAAAAAAGTCCTTTTATTAAAAAGTCTCCAGAAATAAAGTCCTACCAATTCGAGACTTTATTTTCTAGGACTTTTTTTCTGGTTCCAGTATGATTTTATACAAAAAAGTCGTCTGAAAAAAGTCCTCTAACAAGTGAAAATGTATGATTCACAATTCTAGGTTTTTCTTTTCCTCGGATTTATTTTCTTCAGGACTTTTTTTCCTGGTATCTTATTTTCTGAGACTTTATTGGCAGCCCCCCACACTATTTTAGGGAAAAAAGTCCCAGGAATCCAAAACACAGGACTTTATTTCCAGTGACATTTTTTCCAAGGACTTGATAAAATTCGGACTTTTTTCAAAAGTTTTTATTTCCAGGTTTTTTTTCAGAAACTTTTTTTCCCGGGATTTTCTTACATAGATTCGTGTCTGTTTACCCTTTTGAAATCGGCTCAAGAGGATATATCTCACCATAAAATAAAGCCAATCTAAAGAAACTGCATAAGTTCTGCAAACCCAGTGTGAATTTCAAAGCAATGTGCGAAAATCTATCTAGCCTTGCAGTACTGTCATCATACTACATTTTTAGAAAACGAAAAACACTAGACCAAGAAACTCCATTTCTGAAAACCACCTCTGAATAACTAAACTTTACTCATGCTAAAAGTCTTGTATGGCATCCGTTTTTTGGCAAACCCTGCCAATCATAAAAATGTAATATCGAGAGAAAAGAGTATTAGTATAAAATTGTAAACTTTTATATTGTTTATGTAAATTTGCGCGCATTAGACAAATATAAATGATGAATAAAAAAATATTTTGATGGTTTACTAAATGATTAAGCACAGAAAAAAATGCAAGAAAAGTGGGTTAGACAAATTCCGTACAATCGTCTCTGAAGTCTCATTTTTTGTGGGTAACCCTGTAGTTGAATATTTGTAAAAACATTATCTTATAAACTCAAGGTATTATTGAGTGACAAGCTTTGACCTACAGGGTGAACCAGTAAAAATAGGAGATTGTCTTCTATTAGAAAAGGTTGTGTGGTACGCAGTATGTTAGCTTTCAAAAAAAGAAATGATCAGATTTAAATTCTTTTTAATTAATTGAAGAAAAAAACTGTAAAATCAGACGGTGGTAGGCTATTTTATCAACATAATGAAGACGACTTTTGTTTTCAATTTTGATTTATATCAAGCTTAATTTTAAACAGCATGGGTATAAAAGAGCATGGGAAAAAAGAGAAGCCGTCAGTTAAGAAAGATCTTCTTTAATTACTTGTAAACTTGTATTTCTATAAAAGCTTGTTAACAAACTAAACTTTTTAAAAAATCGTCTTCATTATAATGATATAAACGCTTACCACCGTATCTGGGTCAATTTTAAAGGAAACAAAAAATAAAGACCTTGTTTGGAGCCATCGCACATTGTTTATTTTGATATGATCACAAAGATGTTATAGCTACTGTGAACTCTGTGATCCTTTTATCCTCTTTGTTTTATCCCCACATGAACAAACTGTATAAAATGTAGATAAGGATAACTGCTAGAGTGTAAGAGATACAATTTTTGAGTACGTTTACGTTTAGATGTACGTTTGTATACTGTCAAGTTTTACGAGCTCGAATTTTATATTTATGCAGAGAGAAGAGGGGGAAGGGGAAAATAAAATCTAGGCATATTTTTTTCCCGAAATCTTTCATTTTTAGGGGTTTTTATCGCAGGATTTTTTCAAAGCAAAAGTATAACTGTCAAAATTTTGCGGTTACCTATAACAATCAAAAGTATTTGTTCATTTGGCTTTTTTAACAACTTCCTTTGTCTACGATGTATATTGTATATGTATTCGCAAAGCCAAGTACGATCAATACGATCATTCCTTTGTAAAAAGGTGGTATTTGGTATGCAACAATTTTCGTCTAATCCCGCCCCTTTTAATCGATTTAATATTTACAAAGGAATATTGACAAATATTTACAAAGGAATGCCATTTACTCTCAGACAAATAAGAATCAAAGGAAGTTTCTAATTTGTCTGAGAGTAAATGATACATTCAATGTCCGGGGTAATAATTGAACAAATCGTTGAACTACGTATAGCCGGTTCAAATCCTGAATAACCCATTCAAATCTATATGCATCTTTAACATTGAATCCGTTAAACGGTATTTGAACCGACGGTATAGATGTTGTTCAGCGGCCTAGCTTAAATTCATTCAATGCGGTCCCAGGGGAAACTACGTTTTTGCAAGGATTTGATCAGTGATCACCCCAATCCTTTTTTAGCATGCACCTTATCGCAAGTTGTTATTGTAAAAAATATCGCGAAAAAAATATTTTAAAGATGGGAAACATAACAATCCGTAGAGGGACTGTAAGCGGATTTTCAAGTGACCCTCAATGCAAAGATGACTAATTTACAGCAGTACCCTCGATTCCTGTATCTGATCAATAATGTGGAAGATATTGTCGTTTCTCAAGGTTTGAAAATGTTTATTTCTGACGATTCCAATATGTTTTCCTGCAGTAGAAATGCGCAAGTCACTTTTGTTGAAAAACCCGAGTTGAAAATAAACATTTTTCAAAATTAAAAACCTTCATATCAAAGTGATACATGATCAGACAAAGTTTTAAAGGTACCATTGTGAATCGGGCGTGGTCATCTTTCCATGGAGTGCCACTTAAAATTACGAGTACATTCCCTTTAAAATGAAAATAGTAATCATAAATAAATCATGATTAAAATCTTTACAAACGAATTTACAATTTAAATTGTTTCAGGATGTAAATTTGAACTGAATAAAAAATCACGAAATATCCTAGTTCAAAGCACGAGATGTAACCTCAATAAAGAAGTTTTATTAACTAATATACCATTGTGCTTGGATTATCATTTTTACAAGTAGGGGTATATGCAGGCAGTCTAGTAATAACTTATGATAAAAATTGTACATACAGGAGGTATAAAAATAAAAATTGGAAAGAAGGCCCCCCCTCCCTGTCTTAACAATTTTTATGACTTCTCCCCCCATTTCCCTCCCCTTTTATAGAAGTGTACCCCTGGTTTATATGTTCATGATTTCATGGTCATACCTCTAACATAGAGGGAATTAATAGCTGCAAATTAATCATTATTGCAGACTGATAATTGTGTTTCTTCTCTTGTGTCCTATATAGACGTATTTAGCTGTATAGACGTATATAGGTGTATAGACGTATATAGCTGTATAGACGTACTTCAAGCAACCCTCCAATCACAGAGTGGCATGCCTTATTCACATAAGTACCATTTAAACCAATCTCTGAGTAACAATGAAGAATTGGACGTTTTTCTATCAAAAAAAAACGTTGTGCACTGTAAATTTCCTCCCCGTATTATGCGGCAAAAATGCGCAAGTCAACAATATAGAAAACCACAATCTAATTTTTTTTTATCCGGTTCATATTACAAATAAAAACATATTTGTTCTTTTCAATATTTTAATTTAAGTTGGTGTGATATATATCTTCTTTATAATAAAACAAGACATTATAGTTCCCTCTAGCCGGCCAAACGGCTGGACCGAGTGGGCTGAAATTATTTGTGAACACTCATGGATAGCCTGGGGTGATAAGGCAAAAAAATCACTTATTTTTTCTTCGAAAGTTTTTATTTTTTTTTCAATATTAATTGAGACATATATCTTTAATTCTATGTAACAACGTTAAAGTGTTCCTATTTTTCTTCTCTTTTTTAATATCCGGTATTTTTTATAACGGGTCAAATTCGAAATGGTAAAAGAGTCGAGAACATCTCCATTAAAGTGTAAATATCCTGGACTAGAAACCAGGTGTATAGAACAGGACGGATGACAATTAGATATCTCCAGGTAGGATGTTTAGTAGGATAGGACGCAGGAGAGGTGGGAGAACCGTTATTACTTTCAACAGTTACAGTTTTCTGTTAGTTACTCTTTCAAAACAGATACAACATTTTAAATTCTGAATAGATTTGGGTGAAAATTAAAGTTATTATTCTTTATAGCTTGATTTATTAGCTGATACATCGAAAACAGTTAATTGTGTCTCATTTTCACATAAGATTAAAAACATGAAGGCATCTTGGCTCCGAAAACAAATATCTTGGCTTTCTTACAAGGCAAGATTCGGAGGGATTGAAGGCAAATGTGGAGGAGGTATTGGAGGGAAAGGACGGGGATTGGTTTTATTGTTTGCCTGTATCTTAGCTAGCGTAATCAGGAATTATAATTTTACTGAAGGAGAGAATACTGTATCTGGAGTTTGGAGAAACGATGGAAAACTAAGGTATTGAGAATATTATTTTAAAAGCCCTATAAACAGGGGTTCGGTATTCGGGGAGGGTACCGTTAAAAGTTGAAAACATTTAATATTGTACTGTAATACGTGGAAGACATGTAATACTGTACCGTTAAAAGTTGAAACCATTTAATATTGTCTGTAATACGTGGAAGACATGCAAGTACCGTTAGATGTGAAAGACATGTGAACTGTACCCTTGAAAATTAAAAGCATGTAAAACTGTACTGTAAACAGCAAGATAAATATAAAAATGTAATTTTAAAAGTGGGTAACATGTATTACATTACCTTTAGACTTGGAAAAAAATGAATACTGTAAAATGCTATTCTTGAAGATTTCCCCCTACCCCTGAAATAAGTTATATGCCTATTTCTTTCCTTTAAGATAAAGCAAAATTATCCTCAACAGATTTTGACTTTATCAAATTTGATTCTTGGCTGAAAAGTAATGACTAAGATAAATCCATGAGAGAAAAATCTCCAAGTTTAATCCTAAATCTCACGTACACAAAACAATGCTTATCAAATCTTACTTAAAAATTCTTCCAAATATAGAAACTGTATAAAAGATTACAATTTTCCTGAGTAAAACTGTTTTTAAGGTTTAGAGGATCTGTACCAAACCCTGGGATCCAACCATTAGATCTCACAGGTAGGGATAAAAATAATCTCCCTTTTCTATATATATTCTTGGCTTGTCTGTCTGGGTGTTTGTATCCATTAAACGTCAAAACGGCTGAACCGATTTTGTGTGGGACCTCAAGTGACCCCAGGGAAGGATTATGAATGATCAGAATTTAAAGAAATTTGTGTTTAAACGTTTTTAATTTTTGTAAATTTTGAAAATGCTCGAAATCCGCAAACTTTTTTGTTTTTGTTTTATACTGTACAAAGAGAAGATACTCAGAGATAAAGCCACAATTAAAAGTTAAAATAGAAGATAGGCGCGAAGCGACCTAAAAGCCTAGTAATCTAAATAAGAAAAGGCTTGAAATAACCTATGTTTTATCTAAGGAGCTGTGAATGTTATTTCGAATGATTCTTCATTTATAGAGTGGCAAGGTAGATTCACAAAGGTTCACTCTTAACCTTAGTCTGATAAATGACGGAGCTATCCCAGTTTTTCTATTACAAAATTAAATATTTTCAATTGCTGTCTTCTATAAAGGTGACTTGCGGATTTTTGTATTTATTTATCATTGTTTATATAATGTGAATCTGGCATGTCCTTCTTCAAATGGAGGGTCACTTGAAATCACGTTAACAGTCCCTTACGGTCAATTCTGTAATTTAATAAAAAAAACTTTAAAAGGTTGCTCCAACCATGTCTAGCTGACTCCGCCAGGGTTGGGACGGATTTGCTCATTGTCTCAGAGATACAGGGAGACCAGACAGCAACATTTTCTAAAGGTATAGAGTAAATTTGACAATTTGACACAAGCCTTCTGAACAATATGTTCACATTATTGTTAGGACCTTTTTACAAACTTTTTGCAATATGGTGGCGTAAAAACATTGGATATTTCAAAGGAATTGAGTCTTTGCCACAAACTCTGATTTTCTAATCACTATATTCTTGGAACCAAATGTTGTAGACCTTAGATATTTCAAACTATGAATTCTGTTAGCTCAAATAATCTGAGTTTGAAATATCAAAGGTTTAGAACATCGAGTTCTAAAGCTATTGAGGTTTAAATATTTGATTTTGTTCCAAAGACTCAATTCCTTTATTTAGACTGTTTGATCTAAGGGAATTTATAGTGTGATATACCAAGGGTTATCCACAACAGGTTGCAAAGATATATGGATTAGTAAATTTCAGTTTGTGGCAAAAATTCAGATCTTTCATGACTCTTTTTTTACAAATCTTTTTTGAAAAACATGTGTTAACTCAAGTTTTGATCTTAAATAGTGAAATCAGAGCGTGTAGCAAAAACTTAGTTCCTTTCTTGGCAGAAAACAACAACGCTCTAATCCCAAAATATTTTCCATCAGAATTCTTAGACCTTTGATATTTCAAACTTTGAACTCTGTTAGATCAGATCATTCAAAGTTTGAAATATCAAAGTTTTGCACCATAAATTGGGATTAGAAAATTTGAGTTTGTGGCCAGAATTTAAGAAAGTTATTAAAGTTTACTAATTTAATATTTGTTTCACCTACTATACCATATAACTAATATCAGTCAATAAACAATTATCATTTAAACAAAATATTTCTTGATTCTAACACTCAATATTTCTCTCTCAGAAAGAGAAACTTAAACTTTGAATTTACTTATCTTTTTTATAATTTTTTTTTTCTGTGAAATTTAAATCTACAAAAAATGTATAACGCGGATTATATTGTACAGGTACTGTTTGTTTTGATACTCTGGGTATCACTAATATCACTGGAACCTGGAGACAGGGGAACCCCGGAGGACTGGTTAAGATATTCTACTCCAATGGTTCCAGGTTGAAAGGAATGATGCGAGGGGGAGCTCTACATGGTTTAGTTAAAACATTTAGGTAAGGCAACAATAAATTTAATATATTCAAAGTATGATTTAGTTTTGGGAAATGTACAGCTTTAAAATTTATTATCTTCAAAATATGGTTTAGTTTTGGGACAAGTACAGCTTTATAATTTGTTATCTTCAAAGTATGGTTTAGTATGGGACATGTACAGCTTTAAAATTTATTATCTTCAAAGTATGGTTTAGTATGGGACATGTACAGCTTTAAAATTTATTATCTTCAAAGCATGGTTTAGTTTGGGACATGTACAGCTTTAAAATTTATTATCTTCAAAGTATGGTTTAGTATGGGACATGTACAGCTTTAACATTTATTATCTTCAAAGTATGGTTTAGTTGTATGGTTTAGTATGAGACATGTACAGCTTTAAAATTTATTATCTTCAAAGTATGGTTTAGTATGAGACATGTACAGCTTTAAAATTTATTATCTACAAAGTATGGTTTAGTATGAGAAATGTACAGCTTTAAAATTTATTATCTTCAAAGTATGGTTTAGTATGGGACACGTACAGCTTTAAAATTTATTATCTTCAAAGCATGGTTTAGTATGAGACATGTACAGCTTTAAAATTTATTATCTTCAAAGTATGGTTTAGTATGGGAAACGTACAGCTTTAAAATTTATTATCTTCAAAGTATGGTTTAGTATGGGACACGTACAGCTTTAAAATTTATTATCTTCAAAGTATGGTTTAGTTTGGGATAAGTACAGCTTTATAATTTGTTATCTTCAAAGTATGGCTTAGTATGGGACATGTACAGCTTTAAAATTTATTATCTTCAAAGTATGGTTTAGTTTTGGGACAAGTACAGCTTTAAAATTTATTATCTTCAAAGTATGGTTTAGTTTGGGACATTTACAGCTTTAAAATTTATTATCTTCAAAGTATGGTTTAGTATGAGACATGTACAGCTTTAAAATTTATTATCTTCAAAGTATGGTTTAGTATGAGACATGTACAGCTTTAAAATTTATTATCTACAAAGTATGGTTTAGTATGAGAAATGTACAGCTTTAAAATTTATTATCTTCAAAGTATGGTTTAGTATGGGACATGTACAGCTTTAAAATTTATTATCTTCAAAGCATGGTTTAGTTTGGGACATGTACAGCTTTAAAATTTATTATCTTCAAAGTATGGTTTAGTATGGGACATGTACAGCTTTAACATTTATTATCTTCAAAGTATGGTTGACATGTACAGCTTTAAAATTTATTATCTTCAAAGTATGGTTTAGTATGGGACATGTACAGCTTTAAAATTTATTATCTTCAAAGAATGGTTTAGTATGGGACATGTACAGCTTTAAAATTTATTATCTTCAAAGTATGGTTTAGTTTTAGGACATGTACAGCTTTAAAATTTATTATCGGGTCGAAAGTCATATTTCTTCCTTTTTCCTTTTTATTTACAAATACTAGGATTAGGAATATATTGAATTTCTCCTCCCAATTGTTTCTTTAAAAATTGCACAGTCAGCCTGAATAACATTACAAAAGGTTTTGTCTTGCATCAGAATAAAGTATCTGGGGTCTTTGCGACAAACTAAAATTTCATAATCCTTATATCTTTGCAACATGATCGTGTAAACCTTTGATATTTCTAACAGAATTATTTTTTTTGAAATATCAAAAGACTACGACAGTAGGTTGAAAAGATATAGATGATTCAGATGATACATTGCTCCTCAACCCATGTTTACTTCAGATGTAAATACGATTCCTGTAATATAAATGATGAGGACGTATCTCCGACCTACCTGGATTCTCTTCTAGTATATCACCAAGGACGGATATCTAGGGATTCTTTCTCCTGGTGGTTTCTGGTGGGTGGAGGAGCTCTAGTCTGTCAGAGCAATAGTCTAGGACAGGTAGGACTAGAGGAGAATAGGAGAGGACATTGAGAAATTGAGGAGTACAGGAGAGGACTGGTAGGACTAGGGGAGTATAGAAGAGGAAAGATAGGACTAGAGAAGTATAGGAGAACAGGTAGGACTAAAGTTGTATTTCTAGGCAGATTGATATAGTTGTGAATATTTAAATTCTTTATTTCTAGGTGGATGGATATAGTTTTGGATTTTTTTATTCTATATTCATAGGCAGACGGATCTGGTTGTGTATATTTATATTTTACATTTCTAGGCAGATGGATCTGGTTGTGGATATTTATGTCTTTTATTTCTAGGCAGATGGATCTGGTTGTGTATATTTATATCTTTGTTGACTTTAAAAGTCAATATAATAAAATAAAAGAGATCTAAATGGATATTTCTAACATTTATTTAATAAAAACGAAAGTTTTGAAATAGTTTCCCAAGTGGGGTTAAAATTGGTTGGTTAAAAATGAATAAAGAAACTATAAATTGACAAACATCAGTAGCAACTTCATGTGAGCTATGTAGAACTTCATGTTGGTAGTGCAGATCAACTAGAACTGTAACAACAGGTTTCTGCTTTCTCTAGGCTCTCGTAGGATATATAATCCCCAACAATATTTCCAGGTTCGATTAGTAAACTCTTTAGAGTTGAGATTATCCTCTTGTGGAGGAGAGTGGGTGAGTATCCTCTTGTGGAGGAGAGTGGGTGAGTATCCTCTTGTGGAGGAGAGTGGGTGAGTATCCTCTTGTGGAGGAGAGTTAGAACTCTTGGAACATTTTGATGGGCTGGATGTAGGCAGGCATCGTCTGCTGCTGCTTAAGTATCTATATTAACAACATGAAGGAGCCAGGGTAGCTCTCTGAGACTGAGTTGTGATCATCTCAAGTGTTTTCGGCTGACTGAGTACCGGGAGGTGTAGAGGGGTGAGGAGCGAGGGTTACATGTGTGCTTCATTGCGGAAATGGATCCTGTGTATACACACATCTTGAGAATAAACATCGGCATTTGAGTTGGTACAATCGTCTTCCTTATAGTTCGAATTTGTGTTAACAATCTTATATTTCTAGGCAGATGAATCTGGTTGTGTATATTTATGTTTTTTTATTTCTAGGCAGATGGATCTGGTTGTGTATATTTATATCTTATATTTCTAGGCAGATGGATCTGGTTGTGTATATTTATATCTTATATTTCTAGGCAGATGGATCTGGTTGTGTATATTTATATTTTATATTTCTAGGCAGATGGATCTGGTTGTGTATGTTTATGTCTTTTATTTCTAGGCAGATGGATCTGGTTGTGTATATTTATATCTTATATTTCTAGGCAGATGGATCTGGTTGTGTATATTTATATTTTATATTTCTAGGCAGATGGATCTGGTTGTGTATGTTTATGTCTTTTATTTCTGGGCAGATGGATCTGGTTGTGTATATTTATATCTTATATTTCTAGGCAGATGGATCTGGTTGTGGATATTTATATCTTATATTTCTAGGCAGATGGATCTGGCTGTGGATATCTGTATCCTGATCTAAGAGTAGGACTAGCTGGTGAGTGGAGAGAAGGAAGGATGGTTTCAGCATCTCCTGCAACTATAAGCAGTCTATCTCTGGAGTCAGGTACAAATCTAGATCAATCGTTTAAGAAAAAAATACCTAGCTTAAGATGTAGTTGAACTGGAATGAGCAAGACCAGTCTGACAAGAAATAGCTGAAATCCTGACTTAAGATGTAGTTGAACTGGAATGCGCAGGACCAGTCTGACAAGAAATGGCTGAAATCATGGCTTAAGATGTAGTTGAACTGGAATGAGCAGGACCAGTCTGACAAGAAATAGCTGAAATCCTGGCTTAAGATGTAGTTGAACTGGAATGAGCAGGACCAGTCTGACAACAAATAGCCTAAATCCTGACTTAAGATGTAGTTGAACTGGAATGAGCAGGACCATTCTGACAAGAAATGGCTGAAATCCTTGCTTAATATGTAGTTGAACTGGAATGAGCAGGACCAGTCTGAAAAGAAATAGCTTAAATCCTGGCTTAAGATGTAGTTGAACTGGAATGAGCAGGACCAGTCTGACAAGAAATGGCTGAAATCCTTGAACTGGAATGAGCAGGACCAGTCTGACAAGAAATGGCTGAAATCCTGGCTTAAGATGTAGTTGAACTGGAATGAGCAGGACCAGTCTGACAAGAAATGGCTGAAATCCTGGCTTAAGATGTAGTTGAACTGGAATGAGCAGGACCAGTCTGACAAGAAATAGCTTAAATCCTGGCTTAAGATGTAGTTGAACTGGAATGAGCAGGACCGGTCTGACAACAAATAGCCTAAATCATGGCTTAAGATGTAGTTGAACTGGAATGAGCAGGACCAGTCTGACAAGAAATGGCTGAAATATTTTATGCGTTAAAAACCTTTAAAAATATTTAAAGAAAAGCATTATTAGCGCATAACAAATTTTTTTTTCTGTTGTATTCTTTTCATAGGTGAATACTTTTTGGATTTCAAGATTTAAATAATTCTCTTTGTCTGCCTGAAACCTGCCTGTGTTCTAGGTTTGATGAGAGTTGAATTCCTGATTAAATCTCCGAACCTAGTTTACACTGAAGATATCTCAACTAGGACGAATATATCCACGCAACCTCTACTCCAGGATCCCTATGAGGTTAGCTTTAATCTTCTTATCTAACATAAATTGTTATAAAAGAGTCCCACTATGTATAACCCAGGATTCTCACTATATATAACCAGGAGTCCCACTATGTATAACCCAGGATTCTCACTATATATAACCAGAAGTCCCACTATAGATATATATAACCAGGAGAACCACTATATATAAGCAGTAGTCCTGATATATAAAACCAGGAGTCCCACTATATATAAACAGTAGTCCTGATATATAAAACCAGGAGTCCCACTTCATATAAACAGTAGTCCTGATATATATAACCAGGAGTCCCACTATATAAACAGTAGTCCTGATATATAACCAGGAGTCCCACTATATATAAACAGTAGTCCTGATATATAAAACCAGGAGTCCCAATATATATAAACAGTAGTCCTGATATATAAAACCAGGAGTCCCACTATATATAACCAGAAATCCCACTATATATAACCAGGAGTCCCACTATAACCAGGAATCCCACTTATATATAACAGAACAACATTTGTTTTATCCCGCTTATCTTTCAATAACACTTTATATATATCAAAGGTTTCTTTTTATTCCCCGTTTGACTCTACTCTTTTTAAACTAAAAAACCTGTAAGGAAGTCCGCCTTAGGGAACTAATAGATTATGATCTTACATTCTTTCTTTCGTAAACAGTTAACACTTAGATAATGATATAATCTCAAAAATGCTTTTAAAAATTTATTAAGTTTTTTACTGGTATTAGTTTTATCAAGCATGTTGTTTATAACCCAATGTAAATATAACAAGTTTCAACTTTCTAAAGTAATTCTTTAAATTTTTAAGATGGAGACAGTTTACGTTGCAGATTCTATAATACAGGGAGCAGGTTAGTAAACAGCGGTACAACCGTACAAGAAAAAATTATTCTGAAAAATCGCTTTCTGTAAAAAAATGTGACGTGTGCAACCATTCTACAAGTAAAACACGTGACGTGTGCAACCATTTTACAAGTAAAAAACGTGACGTGTGCAACCATTCCACAAGTAAAAAACGTGACGTGTGCAACCATTCTGCAAGTAAAAAACGTGACGTGTGGAACCGTTCCACATGTAAAACGTTACGTGTGCAGCCATTCTAAAAGTAAAAAACGTGACATGTGCAATCATTTTACAAGTAAAAAACATGACGTGTGCAACCATTCCACAAGTAAAACGTGACGTGTGCAACCATTCTACAAGTGAAACGTGACGTGTGCAACCATTCTACAAGTAAAACGTGACGTATGCAACCATTCTAAAAGTAAAAAACGTGACGTGTGCAACCATTCCACATGTAAAACGTGACGTGTGCAACCATTCTAAAAGTAAAAAACGTGACGTGTGCGACCCTTATACAAGTAAAAACATGACGTGTGTAACCATTCCACAAGTAAAAAACGTGACGTTAGAAACCATTCCACAAGTAAAAAACGTGACTGTGCAACCATTCTACAAGTAAAAAACATGACGTGTGCAACCATTCCACAAATAAAAAATGTGACGTTTGCAACCATTCTACAAGTAAAACGTGACGTGTGCAACCATTCCACATGTAAAACGTGACCTGTGCAACCATTCTAAAAGTAAAAAACGTGACGTGTGCAACCATTCTACAAGTTAAAAAACGGGACGTGTGCAACCATTCTACGAGTAAAAAACATGACCTGTGTAACCATTCCACAAGTAAAAATCATGACTTGTGCAACCATTCTACAAGTAAAAAGCGTGAAGTGTGCAACCATTCTACAAGTAAAAAGCGTAACGTGTGCAACCACTCTACAAGTAAAAAACGTGACGTGTGCAACCATTCTACAAGTAAAAAGCGTAACGTGTGCAACATTCTACAAGTAAAAACCGTGACGTGTGCAACTATTCCACAAGTAAAAAACGTGATGTGTGAAACCATTCTACAAGTAAAAAACGTGACGTGTGAAACCATTCTACAAGTAAAAAGCGTAATGTGTGCAACCATTCTACAAGTAAAAAACGTGACGTGTGCAACTATTCTACAAGTAAAAAAACGCTGCTTCAAGAGCTACAGTGTTTTTGCTTATTTCTGCATTAAATATTACACTTCATGTTCAACTACATTGAGCTTTTTTTTCTAAATTAAAGATTAAACTTTTTGTTAATTGCTTTATTATGGATTAAGGATTAAATATTATGTTTAAGTACTGGACTTTTGCTTAATTATGGATCATAAGGATTAAACTGTATGTTCAAGAGCTTGAATTTTCCTTAATTTTGGATTATGGATTAAACTTTTTGTTTACGTGCTGGACTTTTGCTTAATTATGGATTAAGGATTAAACTTTATGTTTTTAAAGCTCGACTTTTGCTTGATTATGGATTATAAGGATTAAAATTTATGTTTAAGAGCTTGACTTTTGCTTAATTATGGGTTAAGGATTAAACTTTATGTTCAAAAGCTTGACTTTTGCTTAATCATGGATTAAAGATTAAACTTTTTGCTTACGTGCTGGTTTTGCATAATTATGTGTTAATGATTAAACGTTATGTTCAAAATCTTGACTTTTGCTTAATTATGGATTATGGATTAAACTTTTTGTTTAAGGGCTTGACTTTTGCTTAATTATGGATTAAGGATTAAAATTTTTGTTTAAGAGCTTGACTTTTGCTTAATTATGGATTAATGATTAAACGTTATGTTCAAAAGCTTGACTTTTGCTTAATTATGGATTATGGATTAAACTTTTTGTTTAAGAGCTTGACTTTTGCTTAATTATGGATTATGGATTGAACTTTTTATTTAAGAGCTTGACTTTTGCTTAATTATGAATTAATGATTAAACGTTATGTCCAAAAGCTTGACTTTTGCTTAATTATGGATTATGGATTAAACTTTTTGTTTAAGAGCTTGACTTTTGCTTAATTATGGATTATGGATTAAACTTTTTGTTTAAGAGCTTGACTTTTGCTTAATTATGGATTAAGGATTTAACTTAATGTTTAAAGAGCTGGA